GGACAGTACCAGCTGGAAGCATATCTTCCTGACATTCTAAAAGCCCTCACATCCCTAAGCAGTCTGAGTTGCAATGTGGGGACAAAGACACAGAGCAGCGTGGCAGTTTACCTGAACAACACTGTTACACCCATGTTCCAATTTCACAGTGAAAAAATATGGAACAACCTGAGCAAGATCCTGATCGACAAACCATCTCGTCTCAATGGCAACCTCCTGGAGTCACTCTGGAAAACGTTTCCAAGCAAAGCTGATGATCAAAATCGAAGGAAGGTAACCTAGTCTCTTACACCGAGACTTTGGCCCAAAAATAAGTTCTTTTGTTTTAAATCTGCTGTTGACTTCCTGTGATTTCAAACTCTCTATCTTTCTTTAGGTTTTACTTGTATTTTCAGATGGTTTGGATGAAGATGTAGAAGAACTAGAACAAAAGTCAGAAGAACTTAGAAAAAAAGGTATCTTAAAGCGGACAAATATTTAAATTAAATTACTTTGGTTTGAATTAAATTACTCAACCCAAAGCTCTTTAGCTGAAGAAAGGCAGGTGAAAAAGAGACAGAAGAAAAACGAATGCCTTCCCTTTTAGCAGCCAGGATATGGAGATAGAGAGAGCCACTAATTCAGAGTGTTATGTCCTAACATTGCTTGTTGTTTGCCTTGTCATGACGCTTCCATGCATGATGATGTGGTGTGATAACCCACAATCACCACCAAGTGGTACAAGGTCATGAAATAGTAATAGGAAAAGCACCAGATTTGCTCAGCACCTGTCACTGGGAACAGATTTTCAAAAGGGCTGAGCATGCAGTGTCTCAGATTGTGGTGCTGATGGCTTGATTCTCAAAAGTGCTCATATGTACCCAATGTGCTGAGCCTTTGTGAAAATCTGGCCACTTATTTTGGTGCATATACGGGAGCTGAGTATTTTTTAAATATCTAGTCCTAAATGTGGGTGCTGAGCTCTTTTGAAAATTCTGGCCATAATGTTGGGATATTTGTTTTCAGTCTATTGTATTCCATTTTTGGATTTACCTCAGTGGATGATCTAGCCCAGTGTGTTTCTTCTCTTCAGCTTTAAACTCAATTTCAGTACAAGGCAGTGTTATTTTGAAAATTAAAAACTTGCTTTCAGGTGAAAGGATAAAATATTCTGGAAATAATTGTGCTGACAGCCACAGCGGTCACATGTTCTTTGATGCTCAAGCTTCACTCAGAGAATTCATTCCACGGTTGCTACTGATTCCGGATTGCCACTGGCCCATTTATTTTCTATAAATTAATTATGGACTCTTAAAAACAAAATGTGAAGATAAATCATGATTTTCATCCTTTAATCTCTAATCTTTATTTTTACCCATATAATAATCTGAATTCCTACATGCAAGGATCCCATCAACTAAATAATTGTCTAAGATTTTCATTTGGATAAATGTTTTATGTTTTGCTCATTTATGGTCAATGTTTTAAATAGGATTGGATGCACTGATAGCTGTTGTTCTGGAAGGAGCCTCTAAATTTGATGAGCTTCAGTACATTGAGTTTGGAAAAGGATTTGAATACATGACTCAATTAACTATTGGCATGAGAAATATCGCCAAAGCACTGTCCAAGTATGTGGTAAGTCATTCAGAGAAGCTCCAGTGTGTCTAGTTAGAGTTTTGATGAAGGCCCTAGTCATTTTCTTAAAGAACTGAA